GAAAGATGTGTTAAAACAAATATATACATTTTCAGCATTGCAGTAAATGTAGTTCACATCTTCCTCGTGCTGTATATATGTATATGTGCTTGTAGACATGTGTGTAATGTGTAATATGGTAAATGTTCATTTTGGTACACTGCTGTTGTAACATGTTGACCTGCGCAATCCACAGTGTAAGAGAAAGCAGATGTGTTCTCAATTGTATTGAAAATATAGTTTGTGATTTTTTTGTATTATTTATTACAATGCCAGTAAAGTTCATTAAAGATGGTTTGAGGGGCAAAAACAATCTGATACCTATTAAGTAGATCATGTTGTTTTATGAACATTGAGGTTAGTCAAGAATTTTTTATGGTACCAGGCAATGTTGTTAGGGGCTAGTCCAGCAAACGGCCTCCCCGGAGTGACGGCTGCTCCTTCCCCTGGGGAGATTTCCATTAATCTTAGATCCTCAATACTCTTACACTGTAATGAGGGAGGGATTGATTCTGCGTGTGCTTCGATGTGATGATAACTTCAAAAACTGCATCTATGGCATAAATAACTTGAGAAGTCTAAAAGTTCCCAAAATGAAGGTCTTAAACTGTGATTTCCTTGGGGCGTGAGTGGTGCCTCCTTCTACCTGCAGGGTCTCGGCCCGTACGCGAGCTGTCACGTGTGTGAACTTGTTTTGCCGTCTGCATTCATGGTCTTGCTAAGATGCTGCCTTGCACCAAAGCTGCACTGTGCTGGTGGCAGTGTTGCAAGCATGCTACTTTGTGCAGATGTGAGGATGGTTAAAGAGTAGTGGACAAGGGGATTTACCTGAACCAGGCTGAACTCTTGCTCTCTGTTTTTTCCTCTTTCCTGCAGCTCAAGCCAGGTCAAAACAGTTGCCGAGACAGTGACAGTGAAAGCGCCAGTGGGGAATCAAAAGGTTTCCATCGAAGTAGCTCTCGGGAAAGACTCAGTGACGTAAGTAAAACTCCTACAGCCAAATAACTGCTCTGATTAACCCCTGGTGTAGTTTTCTGAGGGGTGTAAGTCATCACAGGATTTAGTCTTCTGGGATGGTTTGTTGCTAAAATCCCCTTCCCTTTGGGGGGCTGGGAGAGGAAGAGGTAACTTAGGTCTCCTGCCCCAGTTCAGTAAACTTCTTAAAGTTTGGTGCAATGTCTGTGTGAAAACACTCATTCATTTTGAAATAGTTGAAGGCCATTTAATGAAGTTAAAATGCTCTGCATAGTTGAGAAGTGAGATGGCCTCATTTTACCCCAAGCGGGGAAGGAAACGAATGCATTTTTTTGGGCTAAATACTGTCTTTATGAAAATTATTAGAGAGTCTAGAGAGACTCAGATAATTTATATATAATGAATTGATATAACATGGCCAACAATAGCATAAGCTCTGCCTTTATTGCTCTACCTAAACTGCTGTGGAAGGTCCTAAGATGGCAGCTCTGTGGAGAATGTTTTTCTCCAGTGAAGAATGCTGGCCATTCACTGAATGACATGCATGAGTTATTCCGACATACGAATGACTACAGAAATCTTTCTGTTGCTGCAATTAGATTATTATTTATTATGTGTACCATCACAATCCTTGAGTGTTTTATTCATGGCTCTGGGTCCTCTGTGCTACATGCTGTACAACAGAGAATATAAAGATAGCCCTGTCCCAAAAGAGTATCTAAATTGGGGGTTTTGTAGGTCAGATCCTTCAGTGGTAAAAGCATGGATAGCTACATCAGTCAGACCAATTTGTATCAGCCAGCAATCTGACCCTACTTTTAACTAACCCGCATTTTGGAAACAGGGATTTCATCGATAGCATGTCCGTGTAGATCTGGATGACAGATACCAGATGGCGTCCTCTATAGGCCAATCCAATAAAACTGAATTGAGCAGACATTAGAAGGAATACCTTTGCAAAGGATACATTTTGTTGTGAGAATTTAAGCCTGAAGGCACACAGCTAGCAATTTTTGCTGAATTGTGCATATCACTGGAATGGCCGCCTGATTTTTTTTTTTTTTTTTTTTTTTTTTTTTTTTTTTTTGGGGGGGGTAA